AGAGATAGATCGTCCCTACCACCAACTAAAGTATATGATTATCATTTATCGTTGAATTTTCATATTGAACCATGAGAAGTTGCGCAATCAAGGATTTAGTCTTTTTTTTTTTTTTTTTTTTTATTCGGGGTATCCAGGCTAGTTTTCGCACCTCAATTAATTCTTTGGGATCTTGAAACTACCGGTCGGGTAAGAGTTTTAGTGACTACCCCTATTCGCATCCGAGGAAGAATTTGAACTCAAAACCTCTTAAGTAATGCATTCAAAAGTTCCTATCGAACCACTCAATCACCTAGAGTTATTTAATCAATGATTTAGTCCCTTGGGATGGTTTAAACATAATCTATTTTACTGTTGAATAATACTACACATACAACATTATGCGACAAAATATGATTGGTTGATTTTAAATTAAAATTAAACTTTCACTCAATCATCTTTTGCCAAATAAGTGTAGTATTATTATTTAGTGTTAAAATCTTCTAATCCCATCATGATTAAGATCAAATTTTTTCTTCATTTCTTTTAAGTTAAAAAGTAACCCACCACTAAGGCAATAACTTTGTTGGATGATAGGCTAGTGCTGTGATAGCAAGTATTATTGAGTTCATTAGCTGATTCTGAGTGAGGCCCATGTTAACAAGCCCATTACTAAAAACAAACACCTCATGAGTCATGAACATATGTAAAGTTACTTAAAAGATTGACAATTTATTGGATGGGTAATACTATGCTGACAAACAAATCTTATAAACTTTCTTTCACAAACCCAATGTAGCACCACGTCAACTCATGACTTTGACAAAACATGAATGACATTTCCTTAGGAATGAACGGTCGTTCATCGTATAAGAAACGACCATTTTATAAGGAATGAATGATCGTTCCACAAGAAAGATACGATTTTGACTAAACATGAACGACTGTTCCTTAAGAATGAATGGTCGTTCATTGTATAAGAAACGACCATCCATGAGGAAGAAATGGTTGTTTCGTAGGAAGGATGACCTTTCCATCATAGAATGGTCGTTCCTTCAGGTGGAATGGCCATTCCATAGGACGAAATGGTCGTTCCTTGGAGATGGAATGACCTTTCCATAAGGAATGGACGTTCCTCATCCAAGGAATGAATGTTCCATCCAAGGAACGACGATTCCTCCATTCATGACGGTCATTTCTTATAAAGGAACGACAATTTCTTAGTTCTAGTTGAAATCATTTTGCGACAGTTTCGATGGGAGCTGCCAACTCAGGTGCCACGTGGAGTTTGTGAGAGAAAATTTGTAAAATGCGTTTGTTAGATTATCTTTATTTTTATTGGATTGTTGGATGGAAAATATTTGGATGTTTCTATACCTTAAAATCAATTAAAAAAATTATATTTAAATAAATTTTAATTTAATCCAGAATTAACCTTTTCCAAATCCTCTTTTAACTTCTCCACTTTCCTAATTTTTTGTAAGTTTCTACTTTTCAACTTTTGTTCGTTCTTAAAAACTTATGATTTAGAAACGATTATGGAAAACCCATAAAACCAAGATTAGAAAGAATATTTATTGCCATGATTTTGCAAACAATACCATATACAAAATTTTATATTCTACGAAATCAAATAATTTATAATGTAATGAAAAAAAAAAAAAAATTCAAGTGATTTACTTCAACCTAAAAGTTATACACAGAATATGAAAGTAAAGGTAAACAAATTTGAAATTTTTTCTTTTAATATATAAATTCAAAATTTAAAAGTCTATAGAATTGATTTAGGGCATAAATTCGAAACATAAATTAATATCATTAAATTAAATAAATAGATTATGACATTAAAATTGCAAGATATTTAAAATAATAATAATTGAATTCAATAAATAGATTATGATCTTATAATTGCAAGATATTTAAAATCTTTAAAAAGTAGAAAAACTTTTTAAAAATCATAATATTGAGTTCTTTTTGGTAATTTGCATATACAATATATTTTAAAAAATTTTAAAATTGATAATGAGGCTTAAAAAGATTTTTAGTGGCGCTTGAATAACAACACTCTTGAGTTTATTCTCCTCAATCACTCAATGTAATGTTGTTTAAGTTTTGTTATCAAAATATATTTTAAAAAAATTATAATTAATTTTATTACAAATAATTAAATCTAAAAAAATATTATTTATCCAACTTATTTAAAATAATTTAATTTTTAGTTTAAATTATAACATCTTAAATTTTAAATAATTAAATTTATGTTTTTACTATTAATTTCTTTTGAAACAGTTAAATTTAGCCTACAAGAAGGGCTGTAAATGGTGTGAGCTTGAATCCCGATGGACTCCTTAGTAAACCCATAAAGCTTAGCTTGCTTTAAAGTTATTATCGATGTTTTATACCTGGACCGGCCCCTTGACCCAATCAAGGCACGATCCCCAGGTCAGATTGGTGACATAAGATGATATAATAAAAAATTTAAAAGTATTGTATTTTGGGCCAGAAAGGAAATGTTGAATTGAATTAATTATCCTTCGAAAACCAGATATCACACATTACCAACACGGATCCAGCTTAAGCTTTGCCAGTTCTGGGTTAGTGAATCGACTGGTAGTCTCCAAATCTAACATGCAGCATTTATTATAAATGCCATAGGCCTGGTTACAAATATTTACATTATGATTAATGGCCATTGGGCTGGGTAGTGCTGAATTAGGCCTACATTACATTAAGGCCCATCAATTACTAATTTTAAATCAACACTTGGTCTGTTAGTGATGTTGCCCAAAAATAAGATAGAATTAAGCATGTGGGATTTGTAGTTTTCCGTTTTTATCTAGAGTTGAGTAACTAGTTCTTCAATAATATTGATTAGATTAAAAGTCATTCAATCAAGATTGCTTCCTTGATTAATGAAATGACGTCAAGTGTGAACGAAGCCACAAATCAACTTATTAGATGCATAACGTCATCTTGACAAAACCATATCAATCTTCAAAATCTACATCCCTAAAAGCTTAATTACATTTCCATCCCTTGTTTGAGAACTAACAAAGTTCAACCCAACCGGGATACAGTAAATTAGACATTGAACATACCTCTAGTTACCTCTTTACTCACTAGGGTTAACTATACCCAAAGGGTTTTGTATATGATTTGTATGAAAGATATTTACCACATTTGTGTAATTATCTTAGTCCATTAGACTTGTAGAGTGTTTTGTGGCCTCGAGGATTAGGCAAGCTCCAATGTGGGTCTAAATATCTCAATTACTTTAAAAAAGAAAAAAAAACATGTTGTTGAAGCCTTAATTCTACAAATTTAAAACTACTATTGTTAAATGCATTGTCTAGACCACTGTTAGATACCAGAAAAGCTTTACCGGACGGGTGGAACTTTGTTAGTTTCTCAAACAATGGGTGAAATATTGATTTTTTTCCCAAACAGAAGGTGGGAAGATGTAATTGGGCGTCCATATAATTATTAATTGGAAGTGAAGGTAAGTATTACAAGTAAAGTGTAGGTGAAGTCTAATAAGTGATGGTGCAATTGATTAAGACGATTCATGATCTGCCTAATATATCCAAGCACATTTTTATTGCCGACCATTTTTTTCAGATGGAAGTTGGAATTAGCACCTCCCATTTGCTTTCATTCAAAATTAGTGGGCAAACGCAAATTAAGCTTTTTTTGGTTTCAAACCTGTTGGCAAATGGCCTTTTGAAACAAGTTAATTAAGTTTATATATAATTAGTAATTGAAAATTTGTTTTAATGCAGTATGATGTTTACCCAACTTGTATATTTTTTAGCAATACAGTTAAAATTTATGATGGGTTTTTTAAAATAATAAATTAGATTAAATGAGTTTCCAAAGGATTATGATTTTTATTTGGAAAAGATAAAGATGAATTCCACAAGTTTAAGCAGATGGGATGGGAGTGGAAAATGGAAATGAAGAAGCACAAAATTTCCACGTCAACCACTAAGTAAAATGAATCAAATATGATGATGAAGTAGACCCTTTTCAAGATTAAATCTATACAGTATATATATCTATCTATCAAACACAAAAAGATTCCAATTTCACCGCTTAATTTGATTTACTTGTTTTATGTCATTCCTCTTCAATTGATTTGCATTATCCTTATCTTATATTAACGTACTTATGAACTCATCATATATCTTCTTCTTTAAATGTTATTATAATTATTTATTTTTTTGGTTAAATATATCATAAACACATTAAATTTAGGTCTTTTTGTTTAAGATTTCATGATCCCATTTAAATTATTAGTGATAAAATCATTTAGGACCTGGGTTATTTTTTATTCAATTAATAAACGATCCCTTAATTAATTTTCTCTAACAATGATTACTTTCTATTTACTTTAAAAAATTTAGTTTAACCTTATTTAAATGAGTAGTATAACACTTCCAAAGATTATATACAAATTCGTTCTTACAAAATAATGTGATAATACTCTTGTACTGTAATATCATTCACTATCATTTAATATTAATTCATTTAGTTATATTTTTACACGTCATTTTGTATGAACAATAATACTATATTTATAAAGAAATCTTACGAGTTCTTCTTATAAAGAGGGGTATTTAATAGATGAAAAAGAAAAACCATCTCAATTTCTATACGCGTTAATTGATATGCCAATGCAAAAAGTCTTTTATTTTCGTAGTTATCATAAAAGTTGAAGTTTATTGGAATAAAAATACTATGTATCAGAATTTAGAGAGGAAATGAACTCTCTAAGGTAAATAAATTAAAATTCTATCCTAAATTGCTTCTTCTTAATTCTTATAAACACTCTGTTCATCTTCATCATAAAAATAAAATAGAAAAAACAACACAAACACAAACACAGAAAAGAACAAAAGGTCAAGTGTCTGAAGGTAGCTTTCAGCAACATGGTTGCTTTTGTTGAAAATGTCGTTGCACAACAGCTTTAACTGCAAGTTACTGTTGTGTTGGGTTTCTTTATAAATATATTCCATCTTCACAATTACAGCGTCACCAATCATCAGAAACCACACAAAACAGAGGACCAACAAAGAGTCATTTGCTAGTCAATTAAGTTAAGATGCCTTTAAATTGTTCAAGTCTTGTAACCCAATTGCCATTTATCCAAACAACAAGACGATTATTAAATCCCCACCATGTAAAATTTCACTCCTCCTCTTCTTTGTTCAGTTTCCAACACATCACAATATGCAACCAATACAAAAACAAAACATCCCACGTCGTTTCTTTGTCCAAGTTTGATACAAACTATTCTGTTTCTTCTTCAATAATGGAGGAGGAGGAGCAGCACGAAAGTCTCACTCTTGATAAGTCTTTAGAGGCTAAGTACTCTAAAGAATTGGATGTTGCTGTGAGAGCTGTGCAGATGGCTTGCTTTCTTTGTCAAAAAGTGCAGGAAAATTTCATTTCTAAGAGTAATAATCAGGTCCACTCTAAGGATGATAATTCTCCTGTTACAGTTGCAGGTATATTCACTATTTTTTTTTTTTCCTGTTTCATTTGTTTTCTGTTGTTGTGTTTTGAACTGGGTATTTGTTGTTGTGTTTGTTGCAGTGTGTTTTGACATTTTTTTGCTACAGAATTGTTCTTTCTAATGAAGTATGGTTGGTTCAGTATTTGTTTCATTGAATTGTTATTACTGTCTATCAATTCTTGACTTTCTACTGGATATTAATACTTACAATTAACAATTTTGATAAGGGTTGGATAATTTGTGGCTAAAAATGAACACATTGTGCTAAGAATATTTGTTATCCTCGTTGGGTGGGGAGAACTGTAGAATCTCACTAATTGACTTCAGAAGCAATAATGCAAGACAGCCCATCTTACTAAAATATTAAAGATAACTCCATCCACTCGTTCATGGAGGTGTACTGTGACTTGTTTCTTCTGGAAAATATGTAAAATTCTTGTTTTTTATGCAGCCAAATATTGGAATAACTTTGATTCACCAGTTTTAGCTACTTGAAGTACAGAGCCAGAAACGGATGAGAGAAAATTTTATTTTTATTTTATGTCTTTGCAGTGTTTTACAGACGTTTTTTCATTGAAGATAAGATTATTATTTCAGGCAATAGTTGAGAATACTAATTTTTATCCTTCGGCTGTAGGTAGATGTTGTACATAGATGATAGATTGATGGCAATATTATGTACAATTTTGATGGATTATGCTGTCATGTGTCCTTTCTAAATTTCAGAATGCGAATTTCCTTGTGGTTGTGACTGTCTTTATAAATATGTAGAACCATTTCAGTGTTGGACATTCAGAAAACCTAGAATTTTGAGGTGGAACTATGGACTTCTGTACCTATTTTGGGCTCATATTTCTGTACAGGAAGTAGTATGCAGTAACATATTATAATGAGGAGGGTTATAGCACTTTCTTTTAAGATTAAATTAAAAACTCAGTCTCATAAGCTGCATCATCTATTAATGTAGAATTGGTTTAGAGCTCTCTATTCACCATGTATGAGCTGCATATCTATTAATCATTTCAGCTATTTTGAGTTTTCAAGAATTGGATTGGAGGATATTCTGTCATTCGGCTCATGCCTGTCAACTTGGATCAATCTATTAATAACAAATACATATTCTCTTTACTTGCTAAAAGTTGCTCCTTGTTTATTGTTCCAAAATTATTACAAGCTAATCAGAGATTCTAGTTTGACATAGCTGTTTTCTGCTAACTGGTATGATTTTGGATATTAGAACCCATGTGATACTTATGCTACATCATCCTACTTTGTCTATTGAACATTCAATCACTCTCTTTCTGTTGCCATATAGACTATTTCTCTAACAATGTCAATGTACTTCTGCTCTCAGCAGAGGTACATGCTCAGCTTCTTCAGGGGAAGAACATGATAAATTTGCTATTTGTTGTCAGGCATCATTTGTTAGCCTTGTCGATGCACTTGTTTTCTTAAGAAAAGCTAACTTTGCTGTAATTTCACCCTCTAAATTGAGAAAGCTGCTTTCAAATGCTTAGGGTAGATGATTTTTTGCAGTAATATAGTCAAAGCCACATCTGGTTTATTGGTTAACACATTTAATTTCTTTGTAATCTAGTCTAAACACTGTGTTAGCAGGGCTTGATAAGGTTTCAGATCATGGTTCTAAACCCATGTCACTGAGAAATTATCAACTTGATGATATTAATCAAGATAGGATCTATGTGATGATTGATGATTTATGAAGAATCAACTGTGAAGTATAAAAATGTAAAGAAAAAGTGAGAGAGCTATGACCAAATGACTGTGTGTACTTGGATCAAATTTTTTCTTCTGTTGCTTTGCATGTTATTATACGGAAATTTTTTAAGCATCTAAATGTTGATTGAATGTTTCTTTAAGAGTTGTTTGCTATTCTTAGAACACGAAAATTGGATATTTTATTTGGCATAATTGATAATCCCAAAAACTTTGCAAAATAGTTGTATTATTGGCTAATTTCTTTTTCACACCATGAAAATTGAAAACAGATTGGAGTGTCCAAGCAACTGTTAGCTGGCTACTTTCTGAGTCATTTGGGAGTAAAAATGTGTCAATCGTTGCTGAAGAAGATGTCCAAAGTCTGTCCAAGGCTGAGGCAGCTGGCCTGTTAGAAGCTGTGGTGAAAACTGTGAATAACTGTTTAGCTGAAGCACCACGATTTGGGCTCCAAGGTCCACTGATTCCCCTTGGGACCTCGGAGGTTCTTGAAGCAATCAGTCGATGCAACTCAAACGGGGGCCCTAAAGGAAGATTTTGGGCACTTGATCCTGTTGATGGCACGTTGGGGTTTGTACGTGGAGATCAGTATGCTGTTGCTTTATCATTGATAGAAAATGGAGAACCTGTGGTTGGAGTTCTTGGGTGCCCCAACTACCCGATGAGGAAAGAATGGCTGAGTTATCATCACCGCTATCACAGAATTATATCCAAATTGACCCCACCCACATCTGAATCTTGGGACAAAGGTTGTGTGATGTATGCAAGGAGAGGTAGTGGAGAGGCTTGGATTCAGCCTTTGATCCAAGGAAATAAGAAGCTGGTGTGGCCAAACTCTGCAAGGCCAGTTAATGTTTCCTCCATAGAGAATCCGGCACTGGCAACTTTCTGTGAACCAGTTGAGAAGTCAAATTCAAGTCACTCCTTCACCGCAGGACTAGCTCACAGTGTTGGTGTTAGGTGCATACCTTTTTTCTTTAGTCTCCTTTCAAGATTTCCTGTGAAATTTATTTAATTGTGATGGCATTGATCACCATTTCCTTTTTCATTCTTTTACTAATATGTAAATTTATTGACTGCAGGAAGCAACCACTACGTGTATACAGCATGGTGAAGTATGCAGCCATAGGTCGCGGGGATGCTGAAATATTTATGAAGTTTGCAAGGTCTGGATACAAGGAGAAGATATGGGATCATGCAGCCGGCGCTGTTATCATCGAAGAAGCTGGAGGTGTGGTGACTGATGCAGGAGGACGTCCACTGGACTTCTCAAGGGGCATATACGTAGAAGGACTCGATAGAGGCATAATTGCTTGTGCTGGAGCCAAACTTCATGAAAAAATCATCAAGGCTGTTGATGCTAGTTGGGACTCCTCTAGTCTATAAACTTATGCTTTATAAAATCAACAATAACAAACCACATTTCCATTATAATGAATTTTGTTTTGGTGTATGTGTATAGGCTTGTAGAAATCAGCCTTATTTATATTCTATTTGTGTAGCAGCAGCTCTTTTGTAAAGTCTCTTAGAATAATGAACTGCTTAAATGATAGGGATAAATCCCTTCTTTTTTTTTTTTTTTTTTTCAGTATGAATGACAATGGTTCACATCTTAAAAGGTTCTTACTCATTGAAATGCATCTAAAATCTTCTAGAACAACGATAAGGATGTAGCATTTAAGATGATAAATTTTAGGTCCAGATTAAACCAATAAACCATTGCACTTAATTGTA